TAAATTTTATCGTAAAACATAATATTCTTGAACTATTAATATAATATAATCTACTATTTTTAACGTAACCTTAGCATTAATAACTCAGAATAATTTTTTTCATTAATTTTCCACATTTATACTAAGTATAAAATAAACATTTTAAACTCGCGAAGCTGTAAGCATAAATTACTTATACTGCATTGATTTAAATGATAAAATTTAGAATATAGGCGTTGACAATGATAATTTGTCAATAGAATTTATTTTGTAACAATAGATTTTAACTGCGGTTACTACGGGTATATTTCATTTTTAAACATCAATATTATCATGGTTCCAACAATTTAATTTATTTTTACACATATACAAAGTAATATTAAATAGGAAAATAGGCAGTATCAAAATCTTAACAGCTAACGAACGTATACCGTGCTATGTGTACAATATGGATAATAATAGGAGTGGCAAAAATTATACCACGATCAACTTGAGCTTATTAAATTTGAAAGTTAAAAATTAGAATCGTAATAAATATTTTCATCAATATTGAACTTAGTTCATTTATAGAATAAGTTAAAAGGAATTAAGCACCAAGGTACAAAAATTCTAAATATCTTTGAAGCCAATTATAATTGGTTACCGACAGTGTTTGAATATTTCTCCTATAATTGTATAGAAACTATAAACTAGATTATTAACTGCAAGAAATAACATCCGACTAAATAATCGCCACGTTAGTTGTGGGATCAGTATATTATCATATCAGGACACATGATTAATGTAGCACTTAAATTTATTATTTGAGTTGTTTGCGTATACTAAATATTGATTTTACTATATTAATTCATGTTAACGACAAAAATTGATAATATACAATAACCCACAACAACTTGCCAGAAAAATAATTTTACCTCTTTGTCTACATATTTTATAGTTAGCGGTTTAGTTTATTATAATCATATTATCTATAATATTCTGCAAAGGCTGCAAATACAACATTAATCAAAATATTTACTTTGGATTTCCAAATTATACTCACCATCGATAGTTCCTTGTATTATTAAGCCATTTCCAACCGATTAGACTAACATTATATAATTAATATCAATGTATAATAAGAATTATAGATATAGAGTTTTGTGCGGAAGTGAGAGTTATTATCTACTATAATACCTATCAATGTACAATAGTTGTCACTTAGATTTTTAAAATAGATTATTTATCATGGAATAATAAATAATAATTTTAAACAAAATATAATATTATGTTTAGGTATATACCTCTTGTACATAGTTATATTTGTTTTATATCCAAAAATTAATATTCTTAAAATATGTTTAAGAATACTAATATTAATACTAATACTTATTACTAACCAATAAAATGTAAGTATTAAATAATATTTGATTATTGGTGATTACCTTTTACTCAGTACTTGAATTGAGGGGAAGATTTGTGAGTACCTCAACTTTTTTTTTATTGTTTCCAATATCTAAATTAATACATATCTACTATATGTATACAAAACAACAGCAATGTTATTAAATAATACATATTAGGTACGTAAGAAATGTAGCTGAAAACGTATTAACCTCAACTAATTTTTCAAAAACTTCGTCCCTACCTCTAAACTACTTTGTTTAAGTGTTCAAATTTTTGAACTTTTCGTTAATTATAAAATGCACCAGATACCAGACATCATCGTTTATTATTAACAAATAATCATAATTAAAAAATATATATATGTCGACAGGAAGCTGTTTAATAATCCTTAGTATTTTGGTAATATTACTTATAACTTTATAAGTTACAAGCGCGATTATATAATATTTCTGTAAGTTCATTTATATCGCAATGTTGCACCAAGATAACAATTACAAGGGATAAGTATTCTATGAATAATAGTATATTTAACGGTCGAATTACAATAGTACTAATTAAAAATAATTAGTATTATATTGTTTATGTTTTACCTTAATCTATCATTGATCGTAGTTTTTATTTTTGTTTTACTTAAATGGCTTTAACCACTTCTCTATAATGGTTGATTTTTTAATTAATGTATAGTTAATTGTTTATTGGTTCAACTTGTTATTTAGTAATTACAGTTGATGACTGGTATGGTGATTGACAAAAAATAATTTCATAAAATAGTGTATTTTCATGTTTTAAAAAACAAATGAAAGTACTATGGTCTCTTAACAGTAATTTATTTAAATTTTACGTTTAAATAAACAATACGATTCATTTTAAACTTAGAGTAAGTAATATAGATTGAATCTTAAAGATTTGTATCATAAAATTGTAAATATATTTTCATACAACTTAATTGTGGTAATAAGGGTATCGGAGAGCCTGGGAGGCTTAGTCCGTGCGGTACATAGATAAATTTAAAGATTATACAACAGAACAAAACGTTTTCATTGTTTTTGGTTAAAATTATTGGAACTTTATGAGTTGTTGCTTTTGGGTCCAGAATGAAAAGAAAATACGTAAAATTAGAGTTGTTCAACAAAAAAAAAAACCGACGCTGGATGAATAGATATGTAAAGTTGATATGTCGGAAATATCATCTATAAAATTAATCAGAAAACCAAAAATATTGTTTATCCCACACATTACACCAAATTTAATACTAGCATTTTATAATGTTGGCAACAAAAATTAACACTGACTCATTTTGTACAGGCAACAAAATGCACGGGGATAGCTAGTGATACCATAATAATTTTAATGATTTGTTATTCATTATAAATGGTATTATCGATTTTCTTTAAATAATTAATTGAATTAATTAATAACCCGATAACTTGTTATTTATTTTAAAGAATTATCTGACGTGATAACATCGAGTGAAACTCGTTGCGACTAAAATATTATATATTATTATATATTACTGTATTATTACTATAATACTGTAATATTAAATATTCGGTCGACAATAGACAATCTCTCGCTGCGCGTTATAAAGAACATTCTTGAACAAATATTAAGCCGGAATCTGGCAAATGCTAAATTCCATTCGAAATATCGATATATAATGCACACAATATCTTCCCTACCGCCTTCACGCCTCATCGAGGTACAATGTCACTAATGCCAGTAAAGAATTTTTATTCACAAAAGACGGCCGTCCGATAAAACACAATATCCATTCTAGCCGTTGCACCCTTGGGTATACCTAAGAAGGTTATTGTGTACAGGCGAACAAACAGCTAAATTCCATCCGAAATACATGTGTATATAATATATAGTTGGTACCCTGCTGTAACACAAATTCACCATACGATGTTTTCAAAGAATGGTCAAAAACATTCTTTACTAATCCCAGTAAAGAATTTTTAGTCACAAAAGACGGCCGTCCGATAAGACACAATATCTATTCTAACCATTGCACTCTTGGGTATACCTAAGAAGGTTATTGTGTACAGACGAACAAACAGCTAAATTCCATCCGAAATACATGTGTATATAATATATAGTTGGTACCCTGCTGTCACACAAATTCACCATACGATGTTTTCAAAGAATGGTCAAGAACATTCTTTATTAATCCCAGTAAAGAATTTTTATTCACAAAAGACGGCCGTCCGATAAGACACAATATCTATTCTAACCATTGCACCCTTGGGTATACCTAAGAAGGTTATTGTGTACAGACGAACAAACAGCTAAATTCCACCCGAAATACATGTGTATATAATATATAGTTAGTACCCTGCTGGGCCTGCTGTCACACAAATTCACCATACGATGTTTTCAAAGAATGTTCTAGAACGATAATATTATATTATAATTTATAGCCACCCCAGCAACAAAAACTCCATCTGCACAGCAGATATCGTTTAGATTTCTTATTTATTTATTCATTTATTTATTTATTTATTTATTCTTATCTACGTTTTTAATAACGAACAAACATATTTTTTGATTAAATATTTATTACCAACGCACAACTCGTATGTGATAATTATTTAGTTCTCAAATACTGCTGATCAATATAATATATATATATCATTGAGCATATATAATCAATGTATGTATATATATATATATATACATATTATATTAATATAAATTAAGTGGTATTGAACCCAGTCTATAATGTGTAATAGCAACAGCTACAATAAGACAATTTCGATGAACTGTATATTATTTTAAATACATTTATAATAATAATGTTTAATATGAACGATAAATGAACCTTCTTTATGAAATATTTTATCAATTATTTTTTTTTAAATTACATTGCCCCTCTACTTTTATTTTTCTTCCAATTCAAGTACCGGTCGTACACAGTTATACATTGAAAATCTACATGCTGATCTAATCTCTATACGTTAAAAACGACGTAATTATACAGGAAATGTGTAATTATAAATTTCTAAGCAAATGGGGCTTATATAAACGCGTTATGCTATAAAAATCCTGAACGCTGTACACATAGGCGTAACTAGGGGGGAACTTGGGAGGCTTAGTCCCCCAACATAATTTTTAGCCCCTCCTGTCATAATTCCTAGTCCCACACTCCCGCCAATATTAGTAACATTTTTAAACTTAAATTTAAAATATCATTTTATTTTTTTTTATTTAATATCTTGGAAAAATATTAATTTAAACTATATTATTGTATGTAATGATCTTGTGTAAGACGTATCATGTTGTGTAATTTTTACTACACAAATACTCCCTACTAAGAAGTTGTCAATAAACTAAAAATCGTTAAATTCTTTATATCTAAAATAATACTTAATAATATGTTAATATATAAATATTTAACCTCAATACCACTTGGTTTATTATTTGTTTTATAATTAAATATTAATTTACATTCATATTATATGTATAATCAATGAATGTAAGGTGTTTGGAGGGGGTTGGTGGGAGGGGGGTTGGGGGCAGAGCCTCCCACTTAATTTACTTATAATAAAAATTCTAGGGGTGAAGCCCCCCCTAACTTTAAGGTCTAGTTACGCCTATGGCTGTACATCATGAAATAGACAGTATTGGATACTCACCCTGTGGGAGACTTGTGCGATACGACGTCGGCCGCCTGGTCGTCTTCGGTCTGTTGTCGTTGACGCTTCCGACGGTTCCGCCGCCTGCGGGGTTTCTTACCGCCGCCAATGTCGCCGCCATCACCTCCACCAATGTCGCCGCCATCACCTCCACCAATGTCGCCGCCATCACCTCCGCCAATGTCACCACCATTACCTCCGCCAATGTTGCTGCCATTACCTCCGCCAATGTTGCTGCCATTACCTCCGCCAATGTTGCTGCCATTACCTTCGCCAATGTTGCTGCCATCACGTACGCCAATGTTGCCGCCATCAGCTCCGCTAATGTTGCTGCCATTACCTCCGCCAATGTTGCCGTCACAGCCTCCGCCGCCATCTTCGAGTTTCTTCGACTGACGACTCCGTTTCTTGTCGTCGGGTCGGTCCACTGCGTCTATCGGCGTCACTAGCATTGTGGTACGCTCTGCGGGACCTACACTACCGTCGGGCCTGAGCAAATGATGAGCACGCGTGACGTTCGGTATTACTGCCTTGTCTTTTGCCACTGTACGGCGTGGCGCGTGGAGTGCGAGATACCCGCCTATTTTATCGAGTATAGTAAACTTATTGAATTTGTTGACGAACCGCGCACGATATTAATAATAAATTAACCACTGTTGTTATTCTGGTAACTTAACCTCGCGATCAAGAGACACCGATCAAGAGACACCGATCAAGAAACACCGATCAAGAAACACCGATCAAGAGACACCGATCAAGAAACACCGATCAAGAAACACCGATCAAGAGACACCGATCAAGAAACACCGATCAAGAGACACCGATCAAAAGACACCGAGCAAGAGACACCGAGCAAGAGAGAGCGAGTGAGCAAAAAAAGGAGCAACAAACGCGCTACGCCGGTGGCTGTGGCTGATGCAGTGACGTTGGGTTCACGACAGCGATTTAAACGGCCGGCGTCGGAGACACGTTATCGTGGCTGATTCGTCACTTACACAGACGCACACACACACACACATACGTGAGCACAAGAAAGGGACGCGACACTATAGGCTCGCGCGCGCGCATGCGCCGTGGAGGATTGGAGCGACTGCGGGGATAACGGCTACGGTGACGGCGGCCAACGAAAATAACTACGCAGCTGCCGCCGTCGCCGAGATCGCACTAACTGTAGGCCTGTAACGGCTAGCCTGATGGATTAGTTTTGGTACATGGGAATCACGCGAGAGTGGAAAAATAAATAGTAATAATAATAATAATAATAATAATAGTAATTATTATAAAAGCTAATAGGAAAATAAACGATGATTGGTGTGCGCACAGCGATATGGTAGCGCGTGAAACGGGAGAGATTTATTATATTGCCGTTGTTATAAAAATACGACTGTACGTCGTTGATAAAAATAATGTGCCCGCAAACGTTGTGAAAACGACACAGCGGCAAACGATTGTACAGTGTCCAGCGTCCAGAGATGGTGGTGACCGTCGTGTGCGGCGGAAAAGTGTTGGAGGTGTGATGCGTGTGTGTGTAAAGAGCTGTGCGCCACGCACTCGTTATACGTGTAAAAAGTGAAAAGAGCCGCGCTGGAAGAGCGTCTGCGCGAGTTAAAAATCAATAATCACGGTCGAGCAACCAAAATCCATCCGCGATACCGAAAACAACATTTTCTGTGTTATAACATAACGTTTTTTGTTTCTCACTGATGTCATAAATAATACAAAAACATTTATTGTTCGATTTAAACCCGTTGGTTTTATTTTTCAAATTTAAATATTGGTAATTATTTTTATAAAAGTGATACTAAAAAAAAATTAAAACGCCGCGGAACACAAAAATATTGACTTCTGTATAGTATAATATCTATACATTTAATTAATTAGCTACTTTGAATGTAACCTTGAGGTTATTTTTTACGCAAAAACATTTTTTTTTACATACATATATATATATATATATATATATATATATATATATATATATATATATAATTACGTTTACAATATTACTGGCACAGGACCATTATGCGTTATATTATATCATTATTATTATTTAAATAAACCTATTTAAGATTTAGATTTTAGTTTTTCTCAATAACTCGTTGAAACTGACTGCATAAAATCCCTTAAAAACTATCTATGTAAACAACGAGTACTTAGTCATACGCGTGAAATACACGCAATTTTCTCTATTCGCTTTTTTCAAAACTTATACGTTTTCTCGTCAGAACTTCAACAGTTTGATTGATTTGATATTAATTGAACGTTCATTTCGATGCAACGCTTCTCCGATTAAACTATATTGTCATAAATATTAATAAAATATTAAGTACATAAAATATTTCGTGCTTTCATCACGAAATTTCAGTGACATTTTATCAGTGGCGGCGCGTTAGGGTAGACAATGAGACATAGTCTACCCAAAAATCCCAAAAATATAAAACAATTTAATTAAAAAAATTAGTTATTTATTATATGATACTATACCTACTATATAAGTATTTTATTTGTTCATAATTTTATAAATAAAATGTTATTTACACTGATTCGTCTCTACAATGTCTGTGTGAGTAACGACTAACGAGTATGACTAAATAATAAATATATATAATATATATAGTATAATTTTATTTATATCTTATCAATAATTATGTAATCGCTCCGTTGTCGCCGTCAAATCGGTCGAGACATATTGAATTGTGTCTCACTATTGATGACGAGGGCTTATGACATGGTAAACGGGGACGTAGTGGGGTATTACCAAAATTATATGCATGGACGAGACATGTCTCAACGTAATATTTTAGTAATTTAATTGCACATTTGCATTCCGATTGTGGTTAATGGCACACGTTTAATGTTTATCATTTTTTCTTAATGAAGTGATATACATTTAAAACTTAATATGTCAGATATTATTGATATTATTTTAAATAAAGGTCTTGGTTCTTTTTCGCAACAAAACAAAATCGGCGAATTGATTTAAATTATATTCAAATATAGTTATTTTATGTAATTTACTTTTTTTTATGATGATCTAATTTTTAAATAAATTTTATATAACACCATATTATCTTTGGTTGTCTTGTTGTCTACCCTACGAAATTGTTCACGCGCCGCCACTGCATTTTATCGATCGGAACATTTTTTAATTAAATTATTTCATTAACAGTATCCATCAACGTACATACAACATTGTTTTCTAACCGCTATAATTAATAACACGGTGTTAATACTCGGCAAACAATCTATCACGTACCACCGTAACGCAACACTGCCCTGGTATTAATTTTCCCTGTTAATTAAATGAAACCGATACCAATTAATTTAAACAATATAATGCATTATAGTTAAGTGATTATTGTACGTGTCTGAGTCATATTCGTTTAGTATTACATTTATGTCATGCATGGCTGTAGGTTGGGGCCTGTAGGTATCATATTTTATTTTAACAATATTATATTTTATGAACGTCGGATATGTAATAAATTATAATATATATTATGTCGTGATATTATTACCTGGGTACCGAATTATTTTATCTGACCACGTGTTCATAATATACCTAAAGTAAAATAACACTTAAATAGCAATAGAATAAACATAAAAGAAATACAATTTCAAAATAATTAATTATATTACTTACTAATATTTAATTTACCTAAATGGATGCACTTTTCAATGAATTTTTGAATTAGTACTGTTTCAAATAAGTTTATGCAAAACTTTGGTAAACAATAAATTCCTTATTTTTTGTAGCGAAATATTCCCGATGACTATTACTGTTATTATTCTTATTATTATTTTATTATTAATATTTCCGTGTCCGTGTACACTCGAAGTGTCGCCGTGATCACTTATCGCTTTTAATTTTACTGTGTCTGTTGAATAAATATACTTAAGACTTTACACCAGGTAGTCCCGAGAGTGACAGGATACTGGTGGCAAAGTAAAACATTCGTTGTACGTTACTTTTTGTTAAATATATCTATTTTTATTTTATTTTATCTGTTGATTATTATGAATTCGTTATAGTATTATTTGAGTGCCCTCCGTTTTACAATTCTACATTTTATTAAACCCACGATATCTGTGTTACACACATAATTTTAAACAATCAAATTAAAAAATTGTTATTAGAAATATAGACAAAAGCTAGGCTGGTTCAAAATTACGTGTTTATTCAACAAACTAATACTAGAAGTTGTGATAATAATGAAAAATAATAGTTAGAAATGACCAATAAAATAAGCGTATAAATATGCATTAGGTACTGCATATTTTATTTTACTGGTCTGTGGATGAACAATAAATTAACATAATAAATTCATTATCGTATTTAAACAACTATCGGTTTATAAAAATATTCCACGCACGTGCATGTTGAAGTGACGTATTATGCAATAATTCGCTTAAATCCAAGTGAAGCTGAGAGTACGTCTTATGTCGGAAATAATTTTTTTTTTTTTTTAATTTAACTTATAAGTCTATAATATAATAGATCAAAACAAAATAAATTATGTAAATTTCCAGAAATATTTTACAATTTATATTTCCAACCATATAATAAGAACATAAGTAATCAAAATATACTTTCAAAATTAATATCAGAGTATTTTAAGTTTAATATAATTTTTTCTGTTTTTAAATTTTGAGTTTAGTAAAATATATATCACCTCCAATCTCACCATCCTAACAAAAACTATATATTTTATATTAGGTTTATTTTATGTCGGGCTTACGCTGGTTTATATTAAGAACAAGACCGGTACTATATACCAGGACATAATTTCACATTAAGTTTATAAAAAGCAGCTTAGGTAAAGCCGCAAACAAATTGGTTCGGTTTATTTCTTCAATATCGCAATAATTTAATTTAAAATAACTTAATCTAATAAGTAATAACCAATCGATGGTTGAGTTGATGGTTTTTTAATTTGTGTATGATATACATATACCATAAAATGTATAAATTTACTATACATGCAGAGGTGGAACTAAGATTTTTTATACCCGGGGAAAATATTAAAATTACGCCCAATCATAGACCAGGACTAAAATATCTTTCCCTACGATTGTTTTCTAATAACTGGAATTCAAATTACAAACTTACTACATTCTTATTGACTTTTAAACACATTAATGTTAACTAACAAAGTTCAAAATATCGAGTTAGTTCTTACTCATAGAATAATGTTATTGCTTGTGTTACAATAATTAAACTAAATAAAAGTTATTCTGATTTTTACATTGCTATTTGCTAACTATTAAATTTATTAATAATAAACTTGTTTAATTCAATGAAAAAACCTTTTAATTTAAAAAATTGTTCATTCAAATAATTCTTACATAAAAAATAAAAATTAATGCTGTTAAAAAAAGATGTATGATTAATATATAAAAAATGAGTTTCTTATTGTCCATAGAACAGATTTTATGAGAAAAAAATGTTGAAAATAATCAAATTTTAATTATTGACTGTTTTGTATAAAAATTCTTTTGTTGTTTTAGTTCTATACGCCTCAATTATAATAGACCTTTTGGTGAAATATAAAATCTCTTATTTTGATAAAGGTACACATTTAAGACCAATAAAAAATTTAATTTAATTAAACAATTTATAAAAGTAAAAATAAAAACCAAATATTTTTTTTTAAACATAAACAAATGTATAAACATCTTGGTAAATATTATAATGCATAATATTATACAATATTAACATAATTTTTAATATACCTACAGATATAATATATCGTACGTTGTTTGATACGCTTATAAAAGTTATTGTGTAGGCATAAGTAATTTTAATGTAAACACAGCATAAAATATCAATACATGTACCTAGTTTAACACAGAATCTTAATAATTATAGAACCTATATATACCAGTACACGTATACTTATACGAATTTATTCATAATTTTACCGTTAAATAGATGTCTAAATCTCTAGTTCGATGAT